CCAGGATGGACACACTGACCCCCGGATAGACACAGTGACCCTCAGGATGGACACACTGACCCCAGGACGGACACCCTGATCCCATGATGAACACACTGACCCCACCATGGAAACACTGACCCCAGGGAGCACACACTGACCCCAGCATGGACACCCTGACCCCAGCATGAACACACTGACCCCAGCATGGACACACTGACCCCAGCATGGAGACACTGACCCCAGGATGGACACCCTGACCCCATGATGGACACCCTGACCCCATGATGGACACCCTGACCCCAGCATGGACACACTGACCCCAGCATGGAAACACTGATCCCAGGATGGACTCACTGACCCCAGGTGACCTACACTGACCCCAGGATGGACACACTGACCCCAGGACGGACACACCCTGACCCCTGCCCGGCTCTCACCATCTCGTAGTCCTGCAGGGCAGCCTTGAACTTGCCCAGGGCCATGTTGCTGGCCGCTCTCCGGTAGTAGCCCTTGACGTACTTGCTGTCCAGCTGCAGGGCGCGCGTGGCGTCGGCCAGCGCGTAGCCGTAGCACTCGGTGCGCAGGTAGGCCAGGCTGCGGTTGCCATAGTAGATGGCGTTGCAGGGGTTCAGCTCGATGGCGCTGCTGTACAGCTTCACCGCGTTCTCGTAGTCCTTGCCTGGCGCGCACACGTGCACACGCGAAAACACGCGTGGAGCCGTGAGTCGGCAACGGGCAGGGGGATGGACAGGGTGGATGGAGGGGAAAGGGGGGTGGTTGGAGCTCAAAGGGTTGAGTGACTGGGTCCTAAAGGTCAGGAGTGACCAGGTCCCAAAGGATGGGAGTGACCAGGTCCCAAAGGGTTCAGTGACCGTGTCCCAGAGGTCAGGAGTGACCAGGTCCCAAAGGATGGGAGTGACCATGTCCCAAAAGCGACAAGTGACCATGTCCTAAAGGTCAGGAGTGACCAGGTCCCAAAGGGTTGAGTGACCGTGTCCCAAAGGTCAGGAGAGACCAGGTCCCAAAGGATGGGAGTGACCAGGTCCCAAAGGTCAGGAGAGACCAGGTCCCAAAGGTCAGGAGTGACCAGGTCCCAAATCATGGGAGTGACCAGGTCCCAAATGATGGGAGTGACCAGGTCCCAAAGGCCAGGAGTGACCAGGTCCCAAAGGGTTGAGTGACCGTGTCCCAAAGGTCAGGAGTGACCAGGTCCCAAAAGTGAGGAGTGACCATGTCCTAAAGGTCAGGAGTGACCAGATCCCAAAGGCCAGAAGTGGACAGAACTCAAAGGTCAGGAGTGATCCCACTGTCCCCTATAGATCCCAATCTGGCAGCCCCCACTCTCCCCTATAGATCCCAGACTGGCAGCCCCCACTGTCCCCTATAGATCCCAATCTGGCAGCCCCCACTGTCCCCTATAGATACCAGTCTGGCAGCCCCCACTGTCCCCTATAGATACCAGTCTGGCAGCCCCCACTGTCCCCTATAGATTCCAATCTGGCAGCCCCCACTGTCCCCTATAGATCACAATCTGGCAGGCCCCACTGGCCCCTATAGATACCAGTCTGGCAGCCCCCACTGTCCCCTATAGATCCCAGTCTGGCAGCCCCCACTGTCCCCTATAGATCCCAGTCTGGCAGCCCCCACTGTCCCCTATAGATCCCAGTCTGGCAGCCCCCACTGTCCCCTATAGATCCCAGTCTGGCAGCCCCCACTGTCCCCTATAGATCCCAGTCTGGCAGCCCCCACTGTCCCCTATAGATCCCAGTCTGGCAGCCCCCACTCTCCCCTATAGATCCCAATCTGCCAGCCCCCACTGTCCCCTATAGATCCCAATCTGTCAGCTCCCACTGTCCCCTATAGATCCCAGTCTGGCAGCCCCCACTCTCCCCTATAGATCCCAATCTGCCAGCCCCCACTGTCCCCTATAGATCCCAGTCTGCCAGCCCCCATTGCCCCTTACCCTCCATGGCTCCCTATCTGGCAGCCCCCGTTACCCCTCATGGCTCCCTATCTAGCAGACCCGTTAACCGCCCTGGCTCCCTATCTGGCAGCCTCCGTTATCCCCCGTTAACTGCTATGGCTCCCTATCTGGCAGACCCGTTATCCCCCGTTAATCCCTGTTAACCGTCTTGGCTCCCTATCTGGCAGCTTCCATTACCCCTCAGTGGATCACTATCTGGCAGCCCCGTTGCCTCGCCCTGCCCTCAGCGGCTCCCTATCTGGCAGCCCCCATTACCACCAGTGGATCACTATCTGGCAGCCCCGTTGCCTCGCCCTGCCCTCAGCGGCTCCCTATCTGGCAGCGCCCATTACCCTCAATGGATCACTATATGGCAGCCCCGTTGCCTCGCCCTGCCCTCAGCGGCTCCCTATCTGGCAGCGCCCATTCCCCGCTGTGGCTCCCTATCTGGCAGCCCCTTTTCCCCGCCGTTCCCCGCCGTGGCTCCCTCCCCGGTAGCCCCCGCTGCCCGCCGGTACCTTTGAAGAACTCGTTGGCGCGGGCCTTGAGCTCCTCGGCCCGTTCTATGTCGGCGGAGCTCGGGGGCCGCCCGGGGCCGGCGCCGCCGCCGTTCCCCGCCCGCTCTCCCTCCGCCATGGCCGGGCCGTAAAGCACCGCCGCCGCCGCCGGGCGCGGCCGCCAAGCGCCGCTGTCGCAATGCCGCGGTGGGAGGGGGGAGCGGTGTCGTAAACGGGGGGCAGAGGAGCGGGCGGGGGTCGCGATGTCCCCGAGGGTCCCCGAGGGTCCCCAGTGTCCCCAGTGTCCCCAGGGGTCCCCAGGGGTCTCCAGGTGTCCCCAGGTGTCCCCGGGACCCTGCCATGTGTCCCCTGTGTTTCCGTCACTCCCCTGTCCCCTCCTGTCCCCTCGTGTCCCCATCACTCCCCGGGTCCCCAAATGTCCCCAAATGTCCCCAGGTGTCCCCGAGTGTCCCCAAATGTCCCCAGGGCCTTGCCTTGTGTCCCCACAATGTCCCCAAGGGTCCCCAATGTCCCAAATGTCCCCAAATGTCCCCAGCGAACCCAATCCCCCCCAATGTGCCCACTGTCCCCAATGTCCTGAATGTCCCCAATGTCCCCTCCCACTGTCCCCAAATGTCATCAAACCCCCCAATGTCCCCAATGTCCC